GAAGGTTTTAAAGGGTAGATAATAGCATCTGATCAGTGATACTGGGCCACAGGGACACTTCAGATCGAGGGGAGAGTTTAGCCACAGTGTGACTGGAGTGGTGTCCTGAGAATGAGGTGTGTTATTGGAGTTGAGAGGTGGGATGAATAAGAAGCACGGGGGGGTGGGAAAAATGCAAGGCTTGAGATGGATTGTAGGCAGATGAAGACTGGCCTGGTCTTAAACCTTTGGTAGCTGGACTTTTGTGAGTTAAACCAAGTATCATAGGGACCAATACTAAAAAGCCTCTTCCTCCAAGCCTTTTGTATGTTAAACCATTTATAAGTCCTCAAATGAATCTTTGCTGCTAGGAAGCATGGTGCAAAGTCAGTGACTAATAGGATTTCTCCCCCACAGTTGGCTGGATTCCTGGTGGTGGCCCTCCACTCCCATCTGCACAATCTCCTGCTCTGCTCCCAGTTTCTACCACTGCGCACCTTTGCAGATTCCTCCCACATGCTGCCAGTTCCATTTTGGGGAAGAAGCCGAAGAAAAGCATCAGCCTTTGTCAAGTCTGATCAGTGGGCCATGGCTTACTATCATGGGGCCATTTGTACAGTAATGACGACTTTGTGGCTGGCTATGGTAAGTGTATATGGGTCATAGATTGAAGTACATTTTTTCAGCATGCCTTGTGATGTTTCATTGACATTCTCTTTGGCGAATATGCATATTTTCACTTTGCACAAGCCAAGTTTCATGAAAACCAACTCCTAAGCCCATCTGGCCTACAATGAAGAACATCATCTGGACAGGATTGCAATCACTCTCTGTAGCCTGGATGGCTCCAGCAGCACACCTTCCTGTAAGCCTCCAAGCCTGCTCTACTATGTGGAAGCTCATCTCTTGATCTTTGAAATATATTCCATACACATTTATGTGGTGACCAGGGAAACTCTTAATTTCAGTCTTGCTCTCTAAAAACATCTATTCAGCCAACCTGGATTATAAACTAGGATTTGATTAGTTGACCTATTTTTCATATACACGATTCCTTGACTAGTGCCTGCATTTCTTTGCATTACACTGAGCACTTGTTGCAAAGGAGTCTGATGGAATACACTGTCTTCTTATTCAATAAGCACTCGTGCTTTCCAGGACAAAGCCTTTGCCCTTTCAACTTTTCTAACTCCCTCCTGAACACTCAGCCAGCCAATGGGCTATCTTTCCACCCATATACTCATCCCTGTATTTGTTCAACAAATATTTATAATATGCAATGAAGCTATTTGCTCTCATAAAGATTCAGTTTCATAAAACCTATATACAGTGGAATTGACTCAATGGACATGAGTTTGTGTGTGTGTGTGTTATATATGGATAATCAATTAGTCAAGATAATTTATATGATATCTGTCCTAAGGGAGCTCAGAGGCAATAGAAAAGTATTTAACTATAAAAAAAGTAATCACATCAATTTAAAAAATATTTTGGATAAAAGTCCTATATTGGATATGTGGCTTGAAAATATTTTCACCCAGTCTATGACTTCTCCTTTGATTCTATTATCTATATATTTCACAAAGCAAAGATTTCAGTTGTGATAAAGCAAAATTTTATCATAATTTTCATGATTTTTAAATGGATTTTGCTTTGGGCATCATTTCTAAGAACCCATTGCCAAATCTAAAGTTGTGCATGTATTTCTTTCAGAATTTCTTCTCAGAGACTTATAGTTTTAAATTTTACATTTTAGTTGATGATCCATTTTGAGGCAGTGTTAGTAACTGTTACTTGGAATGTGAAGTATTGATCAGAACTAGTGTGTTTATGTATGGATAACCAATTTTTCCAGCACTGTTTTGAAAAGACATTGCTTTTTCCTCCATGGAATTGCCAGTATCCAAAATCAGGTGACAATGTATGTGGATTTACTTCTACTCTCTTCTGCTCCACTGTACATACTGTTTCAACACTACTCTCTTGATTACCACGGCTCTATAGTCTTAAAATACAGAAGGTAAGTCCTTCAGTTTTGAACTTCGTTTGCCTTTCTATATAAACTTTAAAAAACAGCTTGTCAATACCTATCAGCAAAAAAAGAATTCTGTATATGTATTATAAATACTTAGATCTTCTCTGTTTTCTCTCATTGATTTTTTTTGTTCTAAGCAACTCAGCACTGGTGGGGGTCTCTCTGTGGCTTCTCTGGCTTCAGAGGTCTGGTTGCATCCATGTGGCTTGTCCGGCTCAGGGCACTAGGGTAGTTCCATGTGTCTTGTCAGCTACAATGTCTCCCGGGGAGTGAAGTAGTGAGAGAGAGGTGTCTCCCACCTCCAAGGAGGAAGTACCAGATTTCCCAGATTTCTCAGGAGAAGGCCATGCCCACCCAGAGGCCTCATTGGCTATGATCTGATTGACAAGCTAGACTCCACCCCTACACTCTTAATCCTCAAATTGACAAAAGATTATATATCTACCACAGAATATATTATATATCCACCACAGAAATAATGGGCTCAAACATAGAAACAATAAGTTCATTGGATTAATGCACAACATGGGCATGACCCACTATAACCCTGAAATCAGAAGAACTATGTGCTTTCCAGTTACCATGATCAAAAGCTCTGAAAGGGATTATAATAGAAGGCCCTGGGTAAAATGAGAGAGAAATGTAATTTTTAAAAGACCAATTAAAATGAAAGGAATACCGAGACGATGGCTCTTACTCTTGAGGTCTGGAAATTAACTCAACCCCATGGCTCAGTTTTCAGCCAAAGAATAGACCGTGCTCTGTTGCTGCTGCTGTTCTTAAGTGCTATCGATCCAGTTCCAGTGCATAGCAACCCGACCTACACCTGAACCAAATACGCCCAGTCCTGCAACTCCACCACGTGTTTCTGTGCGCGAGCCCATTATGTCAGCAATCATAGCAATCCATCTTGTTAGGGGACTTCCTTTTTTTTTCACTCTCCCTCTACTTTTCCAAGCGTAAGGTCCTTTATCAGGGATTAGTCTCTCCTGATGACATGTCCAAAGTGTGTGAGAAAAGTCTCACCGTCTTTGCTTCTAAGCAACAGTCTGTCTGTATTTCTTCCAAGACAGATTTGTTGGCTCTTTTGACAGACCATAGTACTTTCAGTGTTCTTTTCCAGCACCACAATTTAGATGCGTCAATACGTCAGTCTTCCGTATTCAATGTTCAGTTTTCACATGCATATCAGATGATTGAAAATACTGTGGCTTGGGTCAGGTGCACCTTATTCCTCAAAATAATGTCCTTACTTTTTAACATTTTTAAAAAGTCTTGTGTAGCAGATTTACCAAATTGAATGCATCATTTGTACTCTTGACTGCTGCTTCCATGTGGATCCAAGCAAGACAAAATCCTGGACAACTTCAATCTTTTCTCCATTTATCAGGTTGTTAACTATTGGCCCAGTTGTAAGAATTTGACTTTTCAATATGCAATCCATATTGAGGGCTACAGTTCTTGATCTACATCAGCAAATGCTTCAAGCCCTCCTCCCTTTGAGCAAGCAAGGTTGTGTCATATGCACACGGCAGGTTGTTAGTAAGCCTTCCTCCAATCTTGATCCCTCATTCTTCTTCTTATAATCCTGATTCTCTGATTATTTGCTCAGCATACATATTGGATAAGTATGGTAACAGGATACAGCCCTGACACACACCTTGACTGATTTTTTTTAGATCGTTTTATTGAGCTACAATCTATACATAAACAGTATCCAACATTTAGTACATATATTGCCATCTTTCTTTTTTAGACATTTACTTTCCATTGAACCCTTGGGATCAGCTCCTCTTTTTCCCTCCATTCCCGCCCCCCACCCTTGTGGCCCCTTGATAGGTTATAGATTGTTATTATTTTCATATCTCACACCAGCCGCTGTCTCGCTTCCCATCCCCTCTGGTTTCTGTTGTTCTTTATGTGCCATTCAGTGTGATCGGTACCCCTTCCTTCCCCACTTTTTCCCCCTTCCCCCTACCCTTTCAGTATTTCTATTCCCATTCCTGTTCCCGGGTTCCATGTGTTGTGAGTTTTATCTATTGCCTATACCTATGTACATGCTCCCGTCTAGTCCAGAGTGGGAAGTGGCACTGGGTTTCCTGGTTTTAAACCTTGTAGTATTCCCTTGTTCTAGTCACCCAACTGCCTCTTGATCCAAGTACAAGTTCCTCAGTAGTACAATGAAGTGTTCTGGATTCCCATTGTTCAAAAGACTATTCATATATCTTTATGGTTCAAACAGTCAAATGCCTTAGTATATAGTACTATAGGAATCGCAGTAACATTGAGGGCTACACACACCTTAGAATATTCCATCATTTGATATCAAAAGAGCAATATTGGTCCAAAGAAAAGTTCAGATGGGTCAGGAGGACACGAAAAGAGGAATGGAAGAAGGAAAGACAGGGAGGAAGAGGGATCATACATCTTTCATTATGGAAATTCAATCACTAGGATGAAATTATATGTGTACAAATTTTGATGAAAAAAAAGATCTGTATAAAAGTAAAATTTTTTTACACAGCTTTTTTTGTCATTTTCAATTTTCTAATAAGAAATGTATCCTTTTTCCTCTTAGCTGAGAGTATCCCTCATGAATTTAACCAGAAAAAGGAATTCTTTTCAAAATAAATATATTGTGAGACTGAAAGATGTCACTGCTTACACTTGGGAAAAGGTCCTCGTCTTTCTAGGACTGGAAAGACCACGGCCGGAGGAGACTCAGGGGGATGAGCATCATGTAAGTCATGGGTTCTTGGATCAGCCAGCCTTGTAATACATTTAGAGAATGATTTGATTGTAGACCTTTGCTTTGAGTTATTAAATCATAATTGAAATTCTATATCTGACCATGGACAAGGGATGTGAATAGTCTCCTAACAGGCAGAATGTATTGGAAAATATATAGTTGCCCATGCAGTTAAGTTAAAATTGAGAACACTTCTCATTTGCTCTTCCTTATGATCCATTAACTGTGTGCTAATTTTTAATATGTTCTGATTTCTTTTCGATTTAAGTATTTATCTGTTTTATTTTGTTGTTCTTGTTGATCTTGTTTGTTTGTCTTTAATGTTTTCTGTATATGAAATCCAGGATAAGTAAATCTATAGAATAGTAAATTAATTAATTATTCCTTGGAGGTATAGCATGGGAGGTTGGGGAGAAATGGGGAGCTAATAATTATGAATACAAGAATGAAGAAAATATTTTAAAACAAATTGTGGTTATTATATTACAACTCTTCTTCTTTGATATGCCAATAATACTGGTGGTGGGGGTGGATAGAGGTCCAGAAAATTTTCAATAGGAAAAGTTATATTGAAACTACTCGATAATAAATTCAAAAGAATTACATTTAGCCCCTTTTGCAGATTAAAACAAAGATCAAGGAAATAAAGGTAGTACCAATGAAATACAGACAAGACGAGAAATTTCAGGAAAACACTATAAGAACTAATTGACAAAATAATTGGAAAATTACAAAAGGCACAATATCAGAAAATAGAAATCCAGAATATTAATGATAAAATTTTAGAAATAGATAATGCATTAGAAAGGCAAAGGAGTATAATTGAATCAAGTGGAGACAGAATTGGTGAAATTGAAGACAAATTTGTTAATACTAATTTATTAGGGAATCAATGAGGAAAAAATATATGGAAAATGTCAAGAAAGCCTAAAAAAATCTGTGTATCAATACCAAGAAGAATAATTTACATATGATCAGAATTCCAATAGAGAGGGAAAACACACACACAAAGAAAATTGTCAAAGATTTGCTAAATAAAATCTCTCAATATTAGGAAGGATTAGAAAATACCAATTCATGAAGCTGAGTGAACTTTCAAATAAGACAGGTTGCAAAAGAAAATTACCAACCAATACCTTTCATAAACAACTCCCCCCCCCCTAATAAGAAAATCCTGAAAACAGCGAAAGAAAATTGGAAAGGTACCTACAAAATAGAATCAAGAAGATTTCTCAGTAGGAGCCATGCTGGTCAGAAGGCAATGGATACCTTATATGAAGCTCTGAAAGGGAAAGTATGCCAACTCAGGTTTATATATCTAGTAAAATTGGAACATTCCCCTCAATAGACTGTGTTAAGCTGCAAAATAAGTGTCAATGAAATTTGGGAAATCAACAAGCTACAAGGCATCTTCTCAGATCAGAAGACTGTAAAATTAAAATCAGTAACAGGAAAATCAAACAAAGAAAATTACATAAATTGAAACAGAATTTAAAACTATTTAAATTATGTTAAAACTACTAGGTAGTACTTAGCCCGTTGACCAGGAGGTGAATAGTTGTGCCCTTAGGTAGAGTGCATTGGAAAGTGTCTTACCACAGATTTAGTTAGGTTAAAATTTAACATATTAGTATTTGTTTTCCTTTTCAAAACATTTTAAATTTGGTGTGATTTCGGCTTCTTTCACTTGAGGTTTTTCTGTGTTCTGTTTTTTGTGTTTACTGGGTTTTGATATGGTTTTCTTTCTATGAAATACTGGATAGGTAAATTTAGAGCAAAAGCCACTGGATTAATAATTCCATAAGGTTCTAATATGGGAGCCTAGGGGGTAAAGTGGAGCTAAAATAATAGGTACAAGATTGAGGAAAGTGTCCCAAAATTGACTGTGGACACATTGTCAGGAGAGACCAGTCCCCAGAGAAGGACATCATGTTTGGTAACGTAGAGGCCAGTGAAAAAGAGGAAGGCCTTCAAGGAGATAGACTGACACATGGCTGCAAAATGGGCCCAAGCATAGCAGCAATTGTGATAATGGCGCCAGACCAGGCAGTGTTTCATTCTGTTGTGCACAAAATCACTATGGGTTGGAACCAATTTGATGGCACCTAACATCAACGACAACTATACAACAGTCAGATCCACTTAGTGCCAGTACAATTACAGACACATAGACAAATGGAATACTATTCGGAACAAAAAAGTAATCCATCCACCTAGGAGCAGCTGCTCTTCAACAGAGCATCAAATTCATTAAATGGGGGAAATAAAGTCTTTTTAACAAATAGTGCTAGCAAAACTGGATATCAATTAAAAGATAAATAATTCAATTAAAACCAGTCAGAAGACATAACAACCACTTCTCCCGGGAAGACATTCATATGACCAACAAACACATGAAGAAATTATCACAGTCATTCGCGATTCAAATCAAAACAGCAATGAGATATCATCTCACTTCTGTATTAATAATTTAAAATAAATGAACTACAAAAAACAAATCCTGGTGAAAGTGTGGAGATATAGGAGCCCTTGTGCACTGCTGGTGAGACTGCAAAATGTCACAACCACGGTGGAAACCAGTATGGTACTTCCTTATAAAGTGAGAAATGCAAATATCATTTCATCCAACAATTCTACTACTTGGTATATATATCCTAAATAAATAAGGGCCAAATTATAAACAGATATGTGTCTACTCATGTTCATTGCAGCATTATTTACAAGACCAAAGAAATGGAAACAATTTAAGTACCTATCAGGAGCCCTGGTAGCATAACGAGTTACACATTGTGCTACTAACCTCAGGGTCAGCAGTTGGAAACCCCCAGCCAGTCTTCAGGAAGATGAGGAGGCTTTCTACTCCCATAAAGATTGACAGTCTCAGAAACTCCCTGGGGCAGTTCTGCTCATCCTATAGGGTTGCTGAGTCGGCATCCAGAAGATGGCAGTTAGCGAGAGTGAAGTGCCCATCAATGGATTAATAGATAAACAAACTATAATACATCCACACTGGGAATAGTATCAGACTTTAAAAAATAACAAATTTCAAAACAATGAGTAACATGGATGAAGTTCTTTATTATTATGCTGCATAAAATGATTGCTGTTGTTAGGTGACATAGAGCTGGTTTCAACCCTATGCACAACAGAAGGAAACCCTGCCCGGTCCTGCACCATCCTCACAATTGTTCCTGTGCACGAGCCCATTGTTGCAGCAGCTACTGTGTCCATCTATTTTATTGAGGACCTTCCTCTCTTACAAAGCCCCTCTATGTTACCAAGCATGATGCCCTTCTCCAGGGACTAGTCTCTCCTGACAACTGTCAACAGTATGTAAGACGAAGTCTCACCATCCTCACCTCTAAGGAACACTGGCTGTACTTCTGACACAGAGCAGTTTGTCCTTTTGGCAGTCCATGCTACTTTCAATTTTCTTTTCATTACCACAATTCAAATGTACTGATTCTTCTTTAGTCCTCCTTATTTAATGTCTAATTTGAGATGCTTAGGAGTATATTGAAAATAGCAATGATGGGTCAGGCACGCCTTAATCCTAAAAGTAACATCTTGCTTTCCAACACCCTAAAGGCGTCTTGTTCATCCGATTTACCCAAAGCAATGCGTTGTTTGATCTCTTGACTGCTGCTTCCATGAGCATTGATTGTGGACCCAAACTAGCCCTGGCAACTTCCATCTTTTCTCTAAAAGGATAATTCTTGCATGAAACCACTTAAAAATGCCAAGAAAAGTTCATTGAAAAATATGTTTTAGGAGGTTATATCATTAACTAGTGGGTAGACTTGGATTAACGTGAGTGTAGTGAAAGGGGATATACAATATGGAGGAAATCAGTACAAAAGGATGAAGGACCCACAAATTAAAGGCAACAAATACAACTATTATTACCTATGAAGGGGCTTCAACAGAGTTTGTGAAATGCTTAACATTATGTATATAGACCCCACAAGGGGAGAATATGCTCAATATCATGTTCCTAATTAGCCACTTTTGACCTCATTTCTATCCAGACCTTGGTGACCCAAGCTACGTGTTATAGACAACTGGCACTTTAGATTTTAGAAGTGCCAACACCCTTCAAAAACCACACCAGAAGGATCCAAATTAGAAACCCCACTAAGAGAACTGGACTAAACTCACCTTTAGCAGATTTAAGGAACTGAAATAATCCCTAGTGAAAGCCACCCTCGTGTGAGAAGCAGATGACCGCTATCCCAAGGTTACAGAATTCAATTGGTGGTTATTGAACTTTTGTTCAGATCTCTTCCTTTGAGGGTGCCCAATGTCTGGTAACCAGAAATCACCACATATTTAACATTTCCATGCTCTCTTTGCTTTTGTATGACATACATTAATATTGCAAGCATGTTTCTGCCTTTGTGAATGCCTTTGTGAATAAGCGGTATTGAAAGGTTTGCCCTATCCTCAACCCTTACTGTTTGTGTAGTGTCTAGTCACTTAAACTTTTAATCCATACCAAGCTTTTGATCTGTAGCAATTCATGTATTGCAATCTAAAAAGCTGGGTCTATATACATATAATATCCTTTTACTCAACAGTGCTGTCGAGGGTATGCCATTGACTACTCTAACGATATAACCAATAGAATTTTACTTTATGCTCCATGGGGATGGTTTATAATATTCCCCAATAAAGTTATAATGATGTCTCTAAAATGAACCAGGGACACATATGACCCATAGATATATGAATGGACTTTGTGTTCACACTTAATCATAGCCCTAGTTTAAGGACAATTAATTTTTACAATGTAGTCCTAGTTGATACTCATCCTCATGGAGAAATCACTGATGATGTCAGTGCTACAGCAAAGTGTAGGGAAGAAATCAGATGGTGGCTGGCTATCAGAATGAATGTTGTCTGGGGTATAAAGGCTTGTCTTAAAACAAGCAGCCATGAAGTGAGGTGTCAAATAAGTCCACATGGAAGAAGCACACCCAGTTATATGATCTAAGGATTATAAAGAACAAAATACAAATCCAGGGGAGGGAACAGTATCATAACTTAAATTTTGAATACCCAATTGCAGAAGTCTTCAAATGACAGTGGAAGCCCAAAATCCACAGTCAGGGTCTCCACATGGACTAAGCCTGTGATGAGTGATGAATTCCCTCTGGCCCTAGTCCAGGAATGAGAATAGCCTTGCTATCAGACAAAAAGCATTATAAAGTCAATTATGGCAGATGTAATTAGATTAAAATATAACACCAATGGACATTAGACCACTACTAAGTCCTCCCTCAAAGCAAGAACACTTTGTTCTAATAACCTGGCATTCTGTGATACTCACCTCTCCTAAATGATTGCTGACGACAAAATAGTTGCACAAACTAGTGTGGTGAAGAAAGTTGATGGTGCCTGTCTATTACAAGATATATCATCTGGGGTCTTAAAGGCTTGAAGTTAAGCAAGCAACCATCTAGCTAAGAAGCAGCAAAGCCTACATGGAAGAAGCACACCAACCGTGTGATCATGAGGTGTTGATGGGTTCAGGTATCAGGCATCAGAAGACCCAAACAAACAACCATTTTTATGCAAACAAGGTGGGTCAGAATGGAGACCCAAAGCCAATCTGTAGACAATTGGAAATCCCCTCACAGAAGGGTCACAAGGAAGGGATGAGCCAACCAGGGTGCAGGATAGCACCAATGAAACACACAACTTTTCTCTATTTCTTTAATACTCCCCCCTCTCTCACTATCATGACCCCAGTTCTTTCTTACAAATCTGGCTAAACCAGAGCATGTACACTGGTACAGATACGAATTCTCAACACACAGAATCCAGGACAGATAAACCCCATAGGACCAATAATGAGAGTAGTGATACCATGAGGAGAAGGGGAAGGGGAGGGGAGAAAGGGAGAACTGATTATACACCACCACCCCAGGGGGACAAGCAAGACACGTGCATGAAGGAAGATCGCATATGATGTAAAATATGAAAACAAAAATAATTTATAAATTATCAAGGGTTTATGGGATATCAGGGGTATCAGGGTGGGAGGGTTGTGGGGCGGGGAAGAGGAGCTGCTACCAAGGGCTCAAGTAGAAAGAAAATGTTTTGGAAACTATGATGGCAACATATGTACAATTGTGCTTGATTGTTATAAGAGCTGTAAAGCCCCCAAGAAAATGCTTTATTAAAATTAATATATAAATATATCACCTTATCATTTGATCTATTTGATCCATTTTCAGTTTGTTCAAGTTTTTAATATTTTCTGCTTTCTTTTAAATTGAGGTTTTTCTTTGTTTTATTTTATTATTGTTTGTTTCTTGTTTTTGTTTTGTATAATTTTTCTGTATATGAAACACAGGATATGTAAACCTATAAGGATAATAACTGAGTAGTAATTACCTAGGGACATGGCAGGGGAGGTTGGGGGGAAATGAAGAGCCAATAATAATGACAAGAAAGAAAAAAATTGTTCTAAAAATGCTTATAGTGATGATTACACAACCCTTCTTAATGTTATTGAGCTGTATGATATGTGAATAGATGATAAGTCGATGTTCTCCATGCTGCTCTGGCGAATGACAACTGGGATTTTAACTTGTGAGTAGCCATCTAAAATGCAAATCTTGGTCTCTCCCCATCCAAATCAAAGAAGAGGGAGGAAAATTAATCCTGTGTGGACACTATTGTCCATAGGACTAATGGACATGCGAACCTTAGCCTTTATGACTCTGGGACCGGATGAACTAGATTGTGCCAGGCTACCACTGCTGATCACTCTTCAAGGGATCATGGTAGAAGGTCCTATACAGGGCAAGAAAAAGATGTTGAACAAATTATAATAATCATTTTAAAAGACCAGGATTACTGGTTTAATAAAGACTGGTAGAACCCTATGGCTTTTAGTCACTCTGAAGCCTGGAATTGAACAGCTTCAGCCAAACAATAAACAGGCCTATAAGGTGAACAATACTGGGGAGAGAAACATCCCTAGAAAAATCCACCATATAAAATCAACAGGCAGCATTTGCTTTGTTATAACGCTCACACGACAGGAAGGGATAATAAAAAGGGTTGAAAGAAAATGGGAAAATAGGTAGGGAATGGGAAGAGTACTGCTGCATTGTGGGGATTGCAATCAATGTCATGAAACAAAATATGTGAATTGTTGAATAGTTCTATAAACTTTCTCCCAAATCACAATTTACAAAATAAAATGAGCTGAAAATAGATCAAACATCTTAATGTAAAAAGGTAAAATTATAAAATTCTTAGAGGAAATAATAGTAATAAATGGTTATGAGCCTCTTTTTGACAAAAAAATATTAATGACACAAAAATACAAGGACCTAAAAGAGATAAAGTATATGTCACAAAGATTAAAACCTTGTGTGCTTCTAAGAAAATGTTATTAGTCATATTTTTTAAAGAGTCAAAATAAAGCCAATACTACAAGGCACATCAGGGAATGAAAAAAGACAAATTAATCTCTTGAACGCATTTAATAATCTATTTTCTTCTCTTCAGACATACTACCTGGATGAATTTGAAGATCTCCTAGATGTACTGCTGTTGAAGATTGATGACCTGTCCAACAGCCTACACATTCCTGCTCTAGAAACACACACCAGTAGAACAAGGGAGGCCAGGGCAGATGAGAGCCCTGCCGTGGGCATTCCTGACTCCCAAGCTGCTCAGGTCAGCATATGCAAATTTATTTGTTGCAGCTTTCCTTTTCACATTCCCAAACCAAAATGTTTGTTTAAGTTTGAAAGGAAGTTTGAAGCAGCCAAACCCCAAATTCACTGCCACAGAGTCACTGCTGACTCAAAGTGACCCTATAGGACAGAGTACAGGGGCTTCTATGGGTTTCTGAGATGCTAATGTTTATAGCATTAGAAAACCTGTTCTTTCTCCCACAGAGGAGCTGGTGTTTTAGAACTGCTAATCTTGTAGATCCCAGCCCAACACTGACAACGATACCACCAGGGCTCCTTGTTTGCATGAAATATATTCTCAAAATTAATACCGGTAACTTTGGTCAAAACTGAAGTGTTACTTAATCACTGTCTTTAAATGCCTGATGTGCTTTCTAGTTTAAAATGATGGCATATCAAATGGATCAGTTATCAGGCATCAAAGAACAAAAAATCCTATCATTGTGTGCTCACCTTCCGGATATGATTTCTGAAGACAAATGGGAGCATAAGCAACAGTAGTGAAGAAAGCTGATGGTGCCCAGCTATCAAAAGATACAGCATCTATGATCTTAAAGGCCTGAAGGTAAACAAACGGCCATCTAGCTCAGAAGCAAAAAAAGCCCACATGGAAGAAGCACACCAGCCTGTGTGATCACGAGGTGTCGAAGGGATCAGGTAGCAGGCATCAAAGAACAAAAATCAAATCAATGTGAATGAGGGAGAGTGCAGATTGGGGACCCAAGACCCATCTGTAAACAACTGGACATCCCCTTACAGAAGGGTTGCGGAGGGGAGAAGAGACAGTCAGGGTGCAGTATGGCAACGATTAAACATATAACTTTCCTCTAGTTCCTAAATCCTTCCTTCGCCCCACCCACCACTATCATTATCCCAATTCTACTTTACAAATCTGGCTAGACCAGAGGATGTACATTGGTACAGATAGGAAATGGAAACATAGGGAATTCGGGCAGATGACCCCTTCAAGACCAGTGGTGAGAGTGGCAATACTAGGAGGGTGGAGGGAAGGTGAGGGGAAAAGGGGGAACTGATTACAAGGATCTGCAAATAACCTCCTCCCTGAGGGATGGACAAGAGAAAAGTGGGTGAAGGGCAGTATAAGATATGACAAAATAATACTTTATAAATTATCTAGGGTTCATGAGGGAGTGGGGAGCAGGGAGGCAGGGGGAAAAATGAGGAGCTGATCCCAAGGGCTCAAGTAGAAAGCAAATGTTTTGAGAATGATGATGGCAACAAATGTACAAATGTGCTTGACACAATGGATGGATAGAATGTTATGAGAGCTCTAAGAGCCCCCAATAGAACGATTAAATTTTTTAAAAGATGGCATAAAAATTTAAAAATGATGGCATAAATATGTGCCTCCTTTTTTCTAATTTGTTATTATTAGTTGTCACTAAGCTGCACACAACACCAGGTATACAGAGTAAAGCAGCGCTGCAGGGCTTTTAAGGCTGTGTTCTCTTAGATGTCAAGCACCACGTCTGTTGTCTGAGGTGCTGCTGGGTGAATTTGGAACCACCAGCCTTCTGGTTAGTCAAACTTTCGCTCAGTACCTTTGAATTGATGGTTACTCATAGCTTCCCTATAGGACAGAGAATAACTGTCCCTGTGGGTTTCTGAGATTGTAACCCTTTATGGGAGTAGAGCACTTAACTGTTGGTGCCACCCAGGGATGTAATCCTGATTAAAACTTTAATAAACCAAAACAAAATCGCTGAGTTCAAACTGCTCACCTTTTGTTCAGCAGCTGAGTGTAGTAAAGAAAAAGAAATGAAAATATCATACTCCCTAAAACTAAGAAATACCTAAGGTGCAGAGCCATGACCAATAATTCCAAGAATGTCTGTTCATTACAGTAATAATTAAACCAAAGGAGAAAAGATCCCACCACTTCCATGAGATCTCACAGAATTTTCCAAATGAACAACATACTCAGATGGTCCAACCAAAGACTCCTTGCTTGGATCAAAACAGTATAGCGCAAACAGAGGAACCACCAGAATCCTAACACTATAGAGTTTTATGGGCATAGGGCTGAAGCAATGAACACACGGTTAAGTCATTCTTGTCTGAAGTAATTAAGGATGCAACTACCCGGAATAAGAATAATTGATGCGTCATAGAACTAGAGCTACACCACTTGCCTGCGAAAAAAAATTAACACAAATCCATACTCTATATTCTCAACTGAGAATGACAGTGGCAACAAATGTACAAAAGTGCTTGACACAATGGATGGATGGATGGATTGTGATAAGAGTTGTATGAGCCCCCAGTAAAACGATTAAATTAAAAAAAAGATGGCATAAAAATTTAAAAATGATGTCATAAATATGTGCCTCCTTATTTCTAATTTGTTATTATTAGTTGCTGTCACTAAACTAGTTGTTTAGTTGCCATGAAGTTGTTTTCCACTCATGGTATCTTTATATTTAATTAAGCAAATATAAAGTTCTGTGAGACCTTCATGATTTTTGATATGATTAAGTGCATTGTGGTTATTTTGTAGTATTTTCCAACATAGGGGGTTCATCTTCTTACGCTATATGAGAAAATTAATCATTTTATTAGGGGTTATTATCGATATTTTAACATTCCTTAAATCAATTATATCAAGAGAACTTGTACAGATGCTGCCATCATCGTTTTCAAAACATTTGAAAACAGGGGTTTATCTGTCCTGGATTCTGTGTATCAAAAGCTCATATCGTTAGTAATGTCCATACTTCAGTCTAGCAGGATTTGTGAGGCAGAACTGAGGCCATAATAGTTGCGGGAGGGAGTATTAAAGAACTACGAAAATGTGTGTGTTTCATCGGTGCTATACTGCACCCTGGATATATCATCTCTTCTGTGAGGGAATGTCCAATTATCAACAGATTGGCTTTGGGTCTCCATGCTGACCCCCTCTCCTTCACATCAATAAGATTGTTTTTGAACTCTGATACCTCTTCGCATCAACACCTCGTGATCTCACAGGCTGGGGTGATTCTTCCATGTGGGCTTTGTTCCTTCTCAGCTAGATGGCCGTTTGTTTATCTTCAAGCCTTTAAGACCCCAGATGCTATAACTTTTGATAGCCGGACACCACCAGGTTTCTTCACCACATTTGCTTTTGCACCTGCTTTTTCTTCAGCAATTCTCTCAGGAAAGTGAGCATCATGGAATGCCAGTTTAATGGAAGTGTTTTTTCATTGAGGGAGTACTTGAGTAGAGGCCCAATGTCCATCTGCTACTGTGATAATAAACCTATAAATATATGCAGACATCTATTTCACCATCATCACATATAAACATATTTACATATGTACATGTATGTGTTTAGACCTCTATAAATGCCCTTTGCCTCCTGGTTCTTTCCTCTATTTCCTTCTACTTTCCTCTTGTCCCACTATCATGCTCAGCCTTCATTTGAGTTTCAGTAATTAGGTTTATTTGGGTTCCAGTAATTCTTCTCAGTTACATTGCCCTTGATCAAGCCCTACCAGACCTCTTACAACCTCCTCACCATCCCTTTTAGGTCACTTGTTGTTCCCTTGTCCCTGGGTTTGTTAAAACCCACTTCCTTTCCCTTGCCTCTCCTTCTCCCATCTCCCTCCGAACCATGGGTCCAGTTGTTTTCTCCTCCAGGTTGTTTATCCCGCCTATCTTATCTAGATAGACCTGCAGAGATAATAATATGCACAAAAAGCAAGACAGAGCAAAACAAGGCAACAAAGGAAAACAAAACAACAACAACAACAAAACCCAATGACAAAAAAATACATAAATAAAAGCCTGTAAATAGTTCAAGGTCTGTTTGTTGACCTTTAGGAGTGTTTTCCGGTCAAATCTGATGGGGTGCCATGCCCTGGCCCCAAAGACTATTTTGGGTATTCCCTGGGGACTTCATTGCTCTGCTCCCCTTGCTGTTCTGTTGCACCCCCTTAGTGTTTCATGCCTCAGTGTGGTGGGGTCAGATCGGGCGAAATTCCAACACTGTGTCTCCAGTACTGCCCCACGTAGGGCTATGGGTCAGTGAGGGATGTTGTGTCCTCCTGTGGGGCCGGCCCTATGATCCTCTCTGTGCTTTGGCTCCTCTGAGCAGGAATGTCATCCTTAAGGCTTGGTGGGCCAGGATGTGCTCCACTCTCTCTTCCTCCCAGTACATTTGCTCCTGTGATGCTATATCTTTTAAAAGCTGGGCAACGTATATTTTCTTCACCACATTTCCTTATGCACCCATTTTGAACGACACAATATTATATTATGGTCTTTTGACTAATTTTGAAATTAAATTGCCTTTAAAATTTCAAATTTTCTTTCATACTAGTTTTTCTTAGTTTGGAAGTGCCATATATGACCCTGCCGGTATTTGCATACCAGTGGCATAGCTTCCCAAATTATAGCAACATGAAAGCCACCACAATAAAAACAAGTTGACAGACATGTGGTGTGCTTGCTAGACAAACAAGAAAAGATGAAATCTATTCTCTAATGACAAATACACTTTAGTTGTGACTTTTCTGTCTTCTTTATATAAGAGATAATCCTCTGCCGGCCCAGATTATAGTGCTATTCATAGGTCAGAGCATAAATGAGTGTGTCTCCAGAACAAAGATGAGAACTTATGGTACCTGCGACTCAATCCCATAACAGCAACCATTCTCAGATCAAATTAATGACTACTTGTGGAAGAAGAACCCTCAAAGATGAGTTGCCTTCATACAGAGATGTTGCCAGCTGACATCAAGTTGGCTCCAAATTATAGGGACCCCATATACAACAATAAGTAACATCCATGCTTTTTAACACTCTGATGAGACTTTGTGCAGATCTACCCAACGCAATGTGTCTTTTGATCTCTTGACTGCTGCTTCCATGAGCATTGGCTGTGGATCCAAGGAAGACTAAATCCTCGACAACTGCAATCTTTTCTCTATTTATCATGATGATACCTATTGGTCTAGTTGTAAGGATTTTGGTATTCTTTACATTGCATTTTAATTCATACTGTAGACTACAATCCTTATGTTCTTCATCTGCAAGTGCTTCAGACCCTCACTGTCGGCAAGCAAGGTTGTATCATCTTCATAAAGCAGGTTGTTAACAAGCCTTCTTCAATCCTAAGACTGCATTCTTCCCAGGTAATCCAACAAGTGTGTTACTCTGAGGACTAACGTGCACCTGGCCCATGCTATGATCTTTTCACTAGCCTCATATGCATGTGAAAGTTGGGCATTGAATAAGGAAGACAAGAAGAATCGATGCATTTGAATTATGGTGCTGGAAAAGAATATTGAAAGCACCATGGACTGCAAAAAGGACAACTAAGTCCGTCTTTAAAGAAGCATGGCCAGAGGGATCCTTAGAGCTAAGGCTAGTAGGACTTCTTCTTATACATGCTACACATTATCAAGAAAACCAGTCCCTGTAGAAGGACATCAAGCTTGGGAAAGCATAGGGGCAGTGGAAAGATAAAGAAGACCCTGAGGAGATGGATTGATACCATAGTTCTAACAACAGGCTCAGGCACAGGAACAATTGTGAGCATGGCGAAGGTTAGGGCAGTGTTCCATTCTGTTGTGCATAGGATCAGAACTAACTTGATGGCACCTCACAGCAACATGTACAGCAGAAAAAAACACTGCCCACTTCTGTGCCATCCTCACAATTGTTAAATTTGAGCTCACTGTTGCAGCCACTGCGTCAATCCTTCTCCTTAAGGTCTTCCTTTTTTTCACGGACCTGATATTTTAAAAACCGCAGAGGGTATTGTTTATATCTCCACAGGGAAAGAGGGATCAGACTTCAACCCAGTGCTCCAAGACATGAATGC